ATTTATTTGTCTTATTTGATACCTGCTGGAGACACAATAATTGCTCAAAGGCAAAAGCTACTCTACCTCTAGTATCCATGACCCAGTGGCAGAGAAACAGTAGTAAAATATGTTCCATTGGATATTGGAGTTATCCAAATACTCCTATATATATAAATATAGCCTGTGGAAAATTCCACTTCTATGAATTACAGTCCTGTCCTATCAACTACAGCATGGTTATAAGATAAATGGGTGTCTAGATATCACACAAGATATCTTAACAGTGATATTAAGAGAGGTATTAAAAGATATTAAAAGACTTGTTTGTGGTAAATGATGTTTCTTTATTTTTGCTGTTCCCCTTTTACTGCATGTAATTACAGTGCTTAATTAGTAGCTGCATTTTGATTGGGATTTAAAAGGAATGCTATGTTTTCATTCAGAAATATGTTCTGGCAATAGAGTGTATAGGTTTATGCAGTGCAGATGAAAGGTATGGATTATTGTACAGTAAGATGATTTGTAATACTGACATAATTGTACTGTACCAATACCCCTTTTCATTATTATTTTTTTGTTGTTCTGAAGGAGAATGATTTTCCCCGAGCAGAAAGGCAACTTCCCAGTACAGTTAACCAACAACTAATCCAAAATGGCCTCCAAATAAGTTGCACAGTGCGACAAGTGTCTGTTTCCTCTGTCCTTATGCGAGAATTGACGATTCATCGTTTCCATCGGAAAGTCCTCCTGCTGCGGGTTTCGCTCTGACCACGTCACATCTAACAAAGTGTGGGATCAGCAGACTGATCAGGTGGTCGGGTGACTGACATTCACAGGCCATGGCGAGTTACAGGAGCAAGAATCTTTTTAAAAAGTAGCAAGAGACCCATTTTCTGTTGACCAGCAACTCACCCTCAACTCCCAACTGAAGGCTAATTGTTGTTGTTTCCACAAATTCAGCTAAAACTCTACCTGAGCAGTCTCACCGGTCATTCGCAAGAACTTTGTGAGACAGAATCAGTACCATTGAAACTACAGCAGTTCTCCCGAGCCTAAATTTGTGTGGGTGTATGGCAAGGCATAGTCTGTTCTTCAAGGTTGACCCCTAGAGACCCTGATAGCCTTCAGTTGCCCTATGACAGGAAGTACTGTGTAGCTAGTGGCTAGGAATTGACTGAGGGATGTTAATCTAATCAGCAAAGGACAGACTGAGCATGCCAAATGGGGGTTATTAACTCATTGTACAACACCAAACATGTAATCAAATGATGAAGAAGAGGAAAAACACATTTTCTGTTCTCAAGGCTGTTTTCAAATCAAGTCTTTTCCATTGGGCACATACTCTGTTGCTGCAAATTAAATAGTCCAAAAAACGTATCTCAAAGCTCAATGAGAAAAAGTCACAAGGGGAAATACATTAGTGCTATACTCGAATGCATTTACAGTATGTGATGGCTTAACCTACAGAGTATGCAGTGTTTTAACGTTTTCCTCAATGGAGCAATTCATCAAGTGTCCAGCAGGTGGATTTAAGATCTTCACTAATGAACCATATTTATGGAGTGGTCAGTAAGGCATGAGACACCTCCAACAGAAAATAATATAGGAATACATGTATACTCATAATTAATAGCATAATTAATATTGGCATTAAATTGTTACTTAAGCTCTTACATTAGTAATGCAACCCTAACCTCTGAATTACATGGGCCGTTTTCTCGTGGGACATTAACGGGTGGGTTTCACCAGTGACCATGTTCTGTCCCCCATCACTGAAGTGTGACTTTATAGAAATCTACATCTTGCCTGCTGGCCAGGCTGATGGATTGTTTGCAATTTAGGCTCATTGGAACAGAGCTGCTGAATAATGGCACTGCATTGCAGCTTTAAAGCATATCATTGATTAGAAGTCTGTGATAATATGGTCAGCATATACTGTACCTGTACATGCAGCCATGAAGCTGTTCTGTCTTGAGGTCTCCCTAAACTACTCCTGGTTATTGGTACCTGTATTATAAGTGTGTGATTGTTAAAAATCTATTGAGCAGCAGCCTTTTCTGTTGCCAAGGTCTTGAGAGCACATTATGCAGTACCATCTTTTGCTATGTATCTTTTTGATACAATATGCTGCCTTCCTTAACCAACTTTGGTTTATTTTTCTCATTGTTGATGTATCAAGAGGTTAGTAAAACGTTTTTTATTCTCCTGGAAAGTGCAATGGAAAACTGGCACAAAGATATTAAAAGACATGTTACTATTTTAGAAATCTTAATACAGTATATACAGTAGATATAATTTAGACCTAAAGTATGTAGGTATTTAACTATAAATACTGTGCATCATTTTAGACAGCTTTGATACAAACAGGAGTTACTATATACAGTACATTATGAACATCAACAATTTACTCAAAGCCTCAAATAATGTTTTCTACTGTTATAGCCAATGTTGAATGTTACTAATACAGTTTAGTCTGAGTGAGAAGAAAACAAGCTTGTTATTTTGCCATATTTATATAACATTGATCGCAAACTTTACAAATGTAGTCACAACAAGTCTAAGTATATTATACATGCACAGAAATTCTTAAGTGTCGTGATCTCCAAACCATCGCATTTCCCGATCAAATTGAATCGACTCATTGTCAGGTGGTCCTCATCATTGACATTTTTCCTCTCTGTACAACCCAATGGTTAAGGGGCTCATTTTTGTGCTGCAAAACATATACTTTTGAGATGTGTTAAATGCACAATAAGAAATCTATGTGAAATGGAGCAATAAAAATAGATTTTGTAAACTACTAAGGATTTACAGCAGGTGAGACTAACCAGTTTACACTCCATTGATAAAGGTTATATTCCACCTTTCTGCCTTCTAGGCTTCCAGTACAACAGGAGCTATAGGCCGACCACTAATCCTTTCCACTGACTTCCTGCTGTCATCTACAGTACATTGCCTGAACAACCGCTATAGACAGAAATAAATATAAATTAAAATATTTGTCAAATCGTCACAGCTGTTTTCTTTCATAAGTTTATGAAAAACAAAGCAAGCAATGTAAATGATCATTAAGCCCAATTAGGATGACAACCAATGTTCCAGAGCATCAATTGAGTTAAATGAGAAAAGGGCTACATTTCAGTTCTGATTATTACAATTGTTTTAAAGTGGTTGTATTAACATACACTGTATATGGATATTGCCAATTAAATTCACACTTTTACTGCAACAGACTTTAAATGAGCAAAGCCTGGTTCTGTGAAACTCTGGAATGTGACTTGTTTACTTTTTTGTTTTTAATTGTTTATGAGCAGGTAGAAATCATGAGTTGATCTTTTGATGGAAAGTTTCCTTCTGAACTGCAAGTTGTACAAATATTTCCATTACATTGCAACATTGGAGAGTACTGCTGTTTAGCTTTGCCCTATTTTACTGCTGTGAATATTTCCAATGCACAGCAGAAAATTTGAATTACAGTACTTTACTGTTTGTAGTAAGAAATTAAGTAGGAATATTCACTTTTTGTGACAAAAATGTTTCTGCCCCTTTAAAGCTGAAATAGCAAAAACTGGGATATTTCTTTGGTCAGAATACCAAATAAAATATATAGTACAGTAAACTAAAGAGATAAAATTATGTGCGAACATACTGCATAAGGGTACATTAAATGTTAATGAAGTTCTGGGTTACATTACAAGTGATGAAACATTTGGAGTGACTTAATGTGTCATATCCATATGCCTATATTGTATTGTAATTATCATGATAATGTGTTTGTCTTGTGAAAAACAATTAAAGGAAAACCATGATATATTATAATGAATTAAGGCTTATGCAGATTAAAAAAGATTACATAACAATTAATTGAAATGGTGCCTGTTTCCAAGAAAATACCCAATCAAAACACACTGCAGATATCTTGATGGACTGCCCTTTGATCTGTCAGACAACTACTGTAGGTGGTTGCTCATCTGGTAATTAGGTCTCTCAATGTTTACATGGGATGAATTCAAGACGTGTGTGTGTCTGGGGGTCTTAATTTAGTACCAAGACGTTTTCTATGTCTGCAATTAGAGTAAGTAAGATATTATGGAATTTAGAAGGACCTAGAAGCACTCGGTGTATTGCCTCATACTTAGATTTTATCCCTTTATTGTGCCAGGCAAGACAATGAGATCAAATTCTAATTCACGATCCTAAACGCTCTATAAAATGTTATGTTAGTCAACGTATAGTTTACATCTTTTGAAAGTATTTCAGGAACTGCAAAGCAGCTTTTGAAATTCAGTGAAGTTGTGGTAAAAAGGGTCTTTTTGATTTTTGAAACTCTACACATCGCTTAACGTACAGTACTGTACGTACTGCGAGAGAAATCAGTACCGTTACATTGCGGTTTCCCGGTGACTGGGTACGACGCTTGTACTACAACTTTATTACAGTCCAGTAACACAGTAGCCTACTAATTTTACAACTTTGAACACAAACTCCTATATTCAATTTAAGACAAGACTCGGTATAAACAACTGCTGCTTTTTGCAAAAGCGCAGCCAGCATAACATCCAGCTTTACTGTATAATTATACCATGCGCATAAAATTGTTTTCGCATGTATTTTTATGTTTTTTAAATATTTTAAACGTCATAATTGTACGAATAGATATTTCAAAGTTTGGGACAATAGTTTTGGTAACAACTTTTATTGTAACAACTGAACTGTTACAATTGATCACATCAGCACACAGCACTACTTGGGGCACTCTAAGCCCATCTAAACTAGAAAGACACTTTTAACAGCAGCTAAAAGATGTTCAGGATCAGCGGCAGCTACACGTTGACGTTGGGTTTTAAGTGCAAGAACGGATCACGAACAGTTTTTCTTTTTAATCGGCAAGGTTTCAAAGGCGTTACAAATCGCGGAGAACCGAAAGTTTCAGTCTTTTCAGGGAGATCAGTTATGTGGGAGGGTCTTGTTCCTGATAAGAAGGGGTTGGCAGGGAGCCATGATGCATTGCAAGTCTAGTCTCTCTCCCTGTCTCAGAGCCTGCGAAACCATCGGAAATCGGAAAATATTCTGGCAGCAGACAGCTGAGAGAGAGAGAGAGGAGCTGGGTAACAACTCCGTCTTAAGGCGCACAGCCGCGCTCAGGTCGCTACCCTAGTCCCAGTCGCTCTCCTGCACTGAACAGTTGTAAGAGACTCGGGGGGGGAGCATGAGGAAGAATTCTCCGTGGACCTTATTGACCTCAGAGCTGCACGTTCACTGATAGCATCAATTTTAGCTCATGCTGGTGGAAACGCTAATCTGCATGGGAATCTTGAAGGCTCTTGGTTTTTACTTTGCAGAGGACAATTTTTCCTGATCTCTACATATAAAAAGCCCCACCGAATGCGAGCGCCGATAGTCCATCTGCTCCTTCCACAACTACTACTGGTTTCAGCCCCAACTGTCTAGCATTTCGGAGCCAAAGGTATGCTGATGTTTTCTCGTTTCAAGGTGCCTGTGTCTTCTCAGACGTGACCGTGCTGTGCTCAGTAGTTAGCTCCAGCCGAAGTGCATGCCCGGTGGAACTGCTTGACTTTGTAAAACGAATAACCTGCGCGTTGTTTCTGTTTTGTTTTCTGAAGTTAAAGCCTAATTTTCTAACGAAAAATCAGAGGGAGATCTCATTCAGAGGCAACGCGAAGAGATTATTTTAAACGTGTCTTTTCAAGCTACTTTTCCTCGTGGTTTTCATTCGTAGTGCGCGAATTAATATTACAGAATATTGTGTCGAGGAATTAAGTCAAGCCTAATAAATTTGGATTTTCGACATATGATGAAAACGTTCCGAAAATCTCAGAGACACGATCAACCGATCGTTATAACGGCGACATGGCACAAGTTGCGTTGAAAAATAAGCTTTCTTGTTTGTCATGCAGACCTGACAAGACCGTAACGGTCAGGTGAAGTGTGGGTTGTTCTGCGGGACTTGTAATATCTTAAATGACTAGGTTGCCAAGGCATTTCTTACAAGAGCTCCTGGGCATTTGTTTTATTTGTGATGCAGCTGATTTCTAAATTCGTGATAAGGTGTTGTGGCATTTGACTTGATTTTAAAAACACCTTTGAACTCCGCTTACTCAAAATTATTTTCTCAAATCGGACGTGTCGGATCCATAGATCTTTCAAGATGGTTTAAAAAGAGCCTGGTTTTACGGATTCTGGTTTCGCTTTTATCACAGCCCGTGCATAGCAACCTTTATTTTTAGTTCCTTAACTTCCACATTTCATGACTGAAGCTTTCCTCTAACGGGGCTGTATCTTCTGGCGAGTTGCGCTAAGGAGAAGCACTGTAGATACCGCAGCTAGGTCGCTGTCCTGTCGATTCATTGAGCTACACGCTGAACAGCAAAGCGCACAGTAGCTTTTATGCTCACTAACTTATCTTCTTACCGTGTGTCGGAAGAAGAAAGAACAGGTTAAATTTCAAGGAAGACAATGAGCATCTGCACGTACGGAATGTTTCATTATTTTATATTAAAACCCAATCTCTCTCGGCTGTCGTTGTTTATAACGCTTTGTGTTTTTCAGATGCTAATTTCGTTGTCTGCTAATACAACATCTTGTTAAGTTTGGTTGTGTTACTGAAATTATCCAGTTCCTGGAATGCTGAAGTAATCCTTTGATACATGTTAGCCGGATACCAGATACAAAAACATATTGCAAAGATACTCCAGTCGCGTTCGAAAGCAAATAAGGACACGCTGCTACTGGAGCTTGTGCGAATAACAAAGAATAACATTTTATTATTCAAGTCCAAAGCCAGTGTGTAGGCAGATCTTCTTATATAAGCAATAAGTGATGTACTGAACAGGTCTCATCCTAACACCAAGTGAAAATCCTGAGTACTGATCCAAATAGAAACATACCAGAAGAGGAGCTTCTAAGATTTGAGGTTTTCTACAGCCAGTCGTGCTTTGAACAGTGCAGAATACCAGAAATGGCATTCTTTAAAGTGCTCTTGATTATGCCAGAATGGTGATGTCATACATTGCTACCATTTTATCACTTTTTTTTTTCCCCTTGTTCTTGCAGAGGCTTAGGAAGATCGGCAAACTGACATCTCGTTGGCACCATGCAGCGTTCGGGGCTTTCGTCTTTCTTCTCCCTCAGTCTTCAGCTGGGCATACTGGTGGCGGTCTTGGTTCTCAAGATTCAGCTCGTCGGCGCGGAAAGCCTCGACGACGAAGACAAGCCTCCCAACGCCACGGCCCGGTCGTGCACGGGAACTTACGAGTGTAAAGAAGGCGTCATCTTGCCCGTGTGGGAACCTCAGAATCCCTCCTTCGGGGACAAGGTGGCGCGGGCCACAGTGTACTTTGTGGCCATGGTGTACATGTTCCTGGGAGTCTCCATCATTGCGGACCGCTTCATGGCTTCCATCGAGGTCATCACGTCTCAAGAAAAGGAGATCACCATCAAGAAGCCCAATGGCGAGACAACGACAACTACAGTGCGCATATGGAATGAGACCGTATCCAATTTAACCCTGATGGCCCTGGGCTCCTCCGCTCCGGAAATCCTGCTGTCCGTGATCGAAGTCTGTGGCCACGGCTTCGAAGCCGGCGATCTTGGGCCAAGCACCATTGTGGGCAGCGCCGCGTTCAATATGTTCGTCATCATCGGCATCTGCGTCTATGTCGTGCCGGATGGCGAGAATAGGAAGGTGAAGCACCTGAGGGTGTTTTTTGTCACAGCAGCGTGGAGCATATTTGCCTACACCTGGCTATACCTAATCCTGGCGGTCATTTCTCCAGGTGTTGTCCAAGTGTGGGAAGGCCTGCTCACATTGTTTTTCTTCCCCATTTGTGTTTTGTTTGCGTGGGTGGCTGACCGGAGGCTGTTGTTCTACAAGTATGTGTACAAGCGCTACAGAACAGGGAAGCAGCGGGGGATGATTATCGAAACGGAAGGCGACAGGCCGCTACCCTCCAAGGCAGACATTGAGATGGATGGCAAGATGCTTAACTCCCATGCCGTTGAGTTCCTAGATGGAACCCTAGCCCTCGATGTAGATGATAAAGACCTGGATGAAGAGGAAACCAGGAGGGATATGGCAAAAATCTTGAAGGAACTCAAGCAGAAGCATCCAGACAAGGAAGTTGAGCAGCTGATAGAATTAGCCAATTACCAGGTCTTGAGCCAACAGCAAAAAAGCCGTGCCTTTTATCGGATTCAAGCCACAAGACTCATGACGGGCGCTGGGAATATCCTGAAGAAGCACGCTGCCGACCAGGCCCGAAAAGCTGTCAGCATGCACGAGGTCAGAACGGAAGTAGCAGAAAACGACCCCGTCACGAAAATCTTTTTCGAACCAGGGTCATACCAGTGTCTTGAAAACTGTGGAACTGTGACTGTGAACGTCATCCGGCGGGGTGGAGACTTGACCAACACTGTGTCCGTGGAGTTCCGAACAGAAGATGGCACGGCCAACGCGGGGTCCGATTACGAATTCACGGAGGGGACGTTGGTCTTCAAGCCGGGCGAGACGCAGAAAGAAATCAAAGTAGGCATCATCGATGACGACATTTTCGAGGAGGACGAAAACTTCTTAATCCACCTAAGCAATGTCAAGGTGTACTCTGAGAACGCCGAAGACAACCCTGAGGCAAACCATGTGGAGACCCTGGCGTGCTTGGGTATACCTTCCACTGCAACTGTGACCATCTTTGATGACGACCATGCAGGCATCTTTACCTTTGAAGAGCCAGTGACGCATGTGAGTGAGAGCATAGGCACCATGGAGGTGAAGGTTCTCCGTACCTCTGGGGCACGCGGGATGGTTGTTGTCCCCTACAGAACCGTGGAAGGTACAGCCAAAGGCGGAGGAGAGGATTTTGAAGATACCCATGGAGTGCTCGAGTTCCGGAATGATGAAACTTTGTAAGTACATCTTATGCATGTTTCTCGATTTCTGTCATGTGGTTTCTAAGCTGATATCTCACTATGAGCTGCATTGGTGTGGGGCATTAGGGGGAGGGTGTTTCTGTTACTGTGGAAGAGAAAGTCGACCTGTACCAAAAAAAGGTAGCAAAAGTGCTAACTGTTAAACAATGTGACTGATCTGGTCTTTCCTCCAAAATGAAGCTCTACAGTGTGCTATCAGTGTCCATCTCATTGCAAAAAAAAATGTATGTCTATATCTTATTTTTGTACAGATTTGTTTATAAGGGATTGGACCAAACAGAGGCACTGGTGCCTGTGAAGAGACAACAAATCATTGGTCAAAATGTTTAACTCTTTTCTCCTCTCTGCTTTCTGTCTTGTTTCCTGTCATTGCTTTTTGATTTGGCTTTGCAGAAGCAACAGAACTTGCTTTGTAATTTTTTAGAAACACTTAAGCATTTCATTCTCATACCTCTGACCTCTATTGTGACTAGCTCACATGCAGCTCTGAGCTATCGAATGGTGTGTATTTGTCTTGATCATAATTTAGAACAGGAATGATCAAACCATTAAATGTTAGCCATTAAATGTTTAACAATTGGACGTGACCTAAATTTACTGTGCTTTGGGAGAATAAATTGCGCCAGTGGATTCTTAATTATTGCATGATAGGAACTATTAGGTATGGAACCACAAGGCTTTTCATCTGAAAGATTACCGTAGCATTTATTTTTTCTAATGAGATGAGGTCTTGGTAATACCTCCAAAATAAGAAGTTGCCTTCAGGCATTGAATTTAATCCTCCAGTTTGTAATTACATAAGTTATTAAATTGCGGAAGTTTTTTTTTTTCGTTTGGAAGTATTGGTAACATTGTGGAACAAGCCTGTGTGTGAATTTAGCTGTTTCCCAAAGTGCATTGTGAGGCGTAGCAGAAGGGAAATCAAATTGTTTAATGACATAAGCTTTTTCAGATGGGTCCCAATTCCAAATTCTAATCCAATAAATAATAACACAGCAGGGTGATTTATTTATCTGATTTTTTTAATTAATCTATTCTCTAATACTTCATTTGGGAAGTGAATTCCTGTCCCTAATGATCTGTAAAGGTTTTAGTGGTGTCAGTAGTGTGGAATCAGGTACATTTTTGTTTTGGTGTGTTGTGTGATGTGATCAAACTCATTAATTACTTAGAAATTGTGATCCATGCACATGGGGGTTGACATTCCGATTCTGGTTTGGGATACAGTTGGTCTTTAACTTTACAGTAAACACAATTTCAGGTATTTGCAGTGCTAAAGGCTGATTTTGTTGGGTGAATGTGACTTGTAAATTCTAGGCTATAGCGTGTTGCTTTTTTACATTTTTGAGATTCAATAATTAAAGCACAGTCTCGGTTTTCCAAAGATTAAAAGACACTATAAACTTTCAATCTTTCCACCACTTATGTATTTCCATAGTGCCGTGCCCATTCTATAATTAAATAGATTTTAATAGCACTTGCGTGAATGAACTGATGTACAGTAGTAGTTTTTCAGAGGAAACGGTGTAAAGCTGGCAGTCAACACTTACAAATGTCTCGGATGAGGATGGGTTAATCAATTTTTATATCCTTTTGCTAAATGTATTATGCTGTGCAGACCTTATTACCAGGGATTAATCACAAAGCACTATAAACCTGATTTTTAATTAACCCTTTGCAATATCTGACTATCTGTTATTTATTTACAATAGTAAAAATAATATAATTGCCTATGGAATTTGTCACAAGTAAACATTTGTAGGAAATCAAATTTGGTCATGTATGCAATGCAATTAGGAGCACTCACAACAAATGTGTTGTCGTTCTGTGCTAGAAATTGTCACAAAGCACTCAAGAATATTGATTTTTTTTTGCCTGATACTGTATTACGGTAATATATTTTTTTAAATAGGCACTACATTTGTAGTACTATGCCATTCTGTATATAACATTGCAAGTATTTTAATGAGTAGAATATCTGCAAACGTTAAAGTCTGTTTGAAATGTCTGTTGCTCACAGAAAAGTCTAAGTTCTTAACCCACGGATATGCAATTTTATAGCACCCTCCACATAAGCTTTGAACGTTTTGGATGTTTTGGGAGTTTTCTGGCAGCCTAAGTGTAGGTTTTTAAATAAGTTATTGAACACTCAAGCACAGTGTGTGCATCTGTGCAACAGTGTACCCCTTAATAAACAGTAATCTTTTGATGAAAATAACTTCCCCACTGTACAGCATGCGATTATTGTAATTAATGGCTCTAAATAACAAATTCCTGGAGTTGTTTCCTGAAGTGCTGAAGTTAGCTGTGAGTATAATGATACCTCTGGAGTCCAAAAAAGAAAGAGATTAAAATGGGAGCAGAGAAAGGTTTGTTTTACTCTTTTGCAAATAAAAAGACGACAGCGCCATCCGCACCACTAAATTAAAGAAGCGTCTCTTGGCTCTGGAACAATATCATACCGACGGCGAGATTGCATGCAGTATAGTTCCATGCATTTTGTGAAATTCAGCAACAAGACATGGATTGCCTTATGCTGTGTCTGAACAAATTTAAAACGTTGCCATTTAAAGTGTGGTTTATTTTGTTGTGTGGGCAGTGTGGTTATTTCTATTCAGTTGTGTGCTCTTCTTATGCATTCAGTGATTATGCAAGAACAGACGTCTTCAGAGATTCTGCCACAGTGGGATTGTGTCAGATAAGTATCGTACTGAGGGGAAAGCAGCAATACAGGAAGTGAAAACTCAATGTGTTTAGTAGGGAAAGCCTGCAAAGATGCTTTTCCCCTCTTATCTTGAACAATAGGGTGTTAGGCCAAAGTAGACTTGCTGTTCTGGTTTGCTGAATTGTTTATCATCAGGCTTCCACTTTCCAAATTGGAAACCAAAAATAATCTAACAAGCTTCGGGTTTGGACCTGGGATGCTGTCTGTGTGGAGTTTGTATGCTCTACCTGTGTTTGCATGGGCCTTCACCAGGCGCCCTGGTTCCCGTCTGCAGTCCATGCTGGACAATAATAATAATAATAATAATAATAATAATAATAATTGCTTACACTTATATAGCGCTTTTCTGGACACTCCACTCAAAGCGC